GGACACAGCACCGCCTCGCCTGCCGCCCCCGCCGCCGCCGCAGGCCAAGCTGCAGGCCCTGGAGCGCAGCGTGCAGTACGCGCTGGCCAGGCGGCTGCCGGAGGCGGAGCTGCTGCAGCTGCTGGACGCGCAGGCGGTCAGGGTGAGGGCGGCGGCGGCTGCGCCTGAGCAGCCAGCCTGCCTGCCTGCGCTTCAGCTTGCCGCTTGCTCTCCTTGCCAGGCCCCATCTTCGTCCATGCCATCCCTTCACTTGTCTCTCCACCACCCTTATGCCCTCCCCCTCCTCCGCCTGCCTCTCTGGCTGTGCTGCCCCACTGACCCTCATCCCCCCCCTTGCTGCTCCCTTCAACACACACACACACACACACACACCGCAGTCGGTGCTCTCACACTACGATGACCTGCTGATGGTGCTGGCCCCTTACCTCCACGAAAACCGCTACTCCTCCCACGCCCCCACTTCACCCCCCACCCACCCACCCAGCGTCAGCCCCACCCCAGCCCACCTGTCTGCCGCCGTGTGCAGGAGGCGGTGGGAGGTGAAGTGGCGGCCGTAGGAGGAGTAGCGGTTTTCGTGGAGGTAAGGGGCCAGCACCATCAGCAGGTCATCGTAGTGTGAGAGCACCGACTGCGGTGTGTGTGTGTGTGTGTGTGTGTTGAAGGGAGCAGCAAGGGGGGGGATGAGGGTCAGTGGGGCAGCACAGCCAGAGAGGCAGGCGGAGGAGGGGGAGGGCATAAGGGTGGTGGAGAGACAAGTGAAGGGATGGCATGGACGAAGATGGGGCCTGGCAAGGAGAGCAAGCGGCAAGCTGAAGCGCAGGCAGGCAGGCTGGCTGCTCAGGCGCAGCCGCCGCCGCCCTCACCCTGACCGCCTGCGCGTCCAGCAGCTGCAGCAGCTCCGCCTCCGGCAGCCGCCTGGCCAGCGCGTACTGCACGCTGCGCTCCAGGGCCTGCAGCTTGGCCTGCGGCGGCGGCGGGGGCGGCAGGCGAGGCGGTGCTGTGGCCAGGGTGAGGGGCGCCAGGCGTGGTGCTGTGGTCAAGGCAGGGCAGGGCGGCAGCTGGGGAGTGCTGCAAGCTTTGTGGAGGTGGACACCAACTTGGCGCTAGCGTTTCACCGGTACAATCAGTGCACTGGCAGTACCATACAGTGCCAACCATGTGGTACCACCAGTATCCCACCTCGTCTATCGTCTTCTTCATGGGGTAGGCGTACGGCTCGGGGCGGCGCGTGGCGCGCCAGAGCGAGTCCTTGGTCAGAGAGGGGGCGTCCTGCGGGCAGCGGGAGGTTGAGGGCGGCTGGGTGGCTTAGGTGGGTGGGTGGTTAGGTGGTGCGCAGGTCGGGCTGGCGGCATGGCTGGTGTGTGTGTGTGAGTGGCGGTGATGGTAGATGGGTGGACGGGCGGGGAGGGAGGGTGAGATGTAGGGGAGGAGGTTGGGTGCGTGCAGATGGAGCCTGGCCAGAGGTAGATACTCAGCGCCAGCTCGGCAGGTGCAACCACAAGGCGGCCAGCCAGGCAGCCAGGCGGCGCGGCAGCCCCCACCTCTGCCTCCTGCAGCAGGCGGCGCAGGCGGTCCTGGCGCCGCCGCCGGCTGGGGGCGTGTACCAGCGCCTCCAGCGCCTCTGCAGATAGGCAGGCAGGCGGGGAGGGAGGCAGGGAGGCAGGCAGGGTTGGGGGTTTGGACGCTGGCAGGCAGGCAGGGAGGGAGGGCTGGGTTTCCAAACTGGCAGGCCCGGCTGCACGGTCAGCGGCACACGAGCGCCAGGCCAGCCGGCACACCAGCCGTCGAGCGCGCAGCAGCTGCTCAGCAAGCTGCCAGGAAAGACGCGCCGCTGCGGTCTCCAGCGCAGCCCAGCCAGCCAGAGGGGCCCCCTCCCTGCTCCCGCCACCGTGCCCTTCACTCCCCGCTCCCCGCCCGACGCGCGCCGCACCTTCCAGCTTCGCCTTATCCACCTCCGCCACCTCAGCCGCCGCCTCAGCCGCCACCTCAGCAGCCGC